AAAATTTGAACACTTTATAACCTTTTTATTGACCCATGACACTTCAGTTTGATCCTGTAATTACTGGTTTTGATTGCCAAAGAGCAGAACAGACTGATTTCAATTTATTGTCAGTATTTCTCTGTATATTTTCCCATGAGATTAATGTATTCAATCGCAGTGCCGCAACTTTTCTTGAAAAGCAAAAACTGATTTAAATGATCAGCGCCACTCTGCTGTTGGTTATTCAGACCTGGAAGTTACTGTAATCGAATCACAACTTTAATATGATTTATCGTCAGCATTACATAGGAAATTCTCTCATTCAGTGTGAACTTTGGTGGCTCTTAAAAGAGCCGTTGTGGGTTGAATCAGACGCCGGTTTAAGCGCGCTCTCCGCGGATGCGGCGGGCCAGCTGAATATCTTTGGGCATGATGGTGACCCTCTTGGCGTGGATGGCGCACAGGTTGGTGTCCTCGAACAAACCGACCAAGTAAGCCTCGCTGGACTCCTGCAGGGCCATGACAGCGGAGCTCTGGAAGCGCAGGTCCGTCTTGAAGTCCTGAGCGATTTCTCTCACCAGCCGCTGGAAGGGCAGTTTGCGGATCAGCAGCTCGGTGGACTTCTGATAGCGGCGGATCTCCCGCAGAGCCACGGTCCCGGGCCGGTAGCGGTGAGGCTTCTTGACGCCGCCGGTGGCCGGAGCGCTCTTACGGGCGGCTTTAGTAGCGAGCTGCTTCCTCGGGGCTTTACCACCGGTGGATTTACGAGCGGTCTGCTTGGTTCTTGCCATTGCTGTTGTATTCTTCTCTCTGTCCTGCTTGCGCTGGATATGTTACTCTCTGTGTTACACGCCTGATTTTAAAGCATTGAGGCGCCACGAGCTCATCGTGTCGCGATGATGCAGGCCTTGTGATTGGTTAGTAGGTGACGTCTGCGCATGAGTGCCAGCCAATGACTGCGCGTTTCCTCTTTTCAAACAAGCGGAGGATTTGCCGCTCAAGCTGTTTTGTTCGGTTGACTACTTTGGGCGCCTTTACACTTACAACACAGTGTTGCCAGGGTAGCGGTTTTCCCGCACAATTGGGCTATTTTAAAAAAGCTGTCGCGGGAAAAATTACAGAGTCGCAGGTTGCGTTTTTTGGGCTATATTTGTTATGTATTGCGGCCGCAAAAAAACATAAAAAATTAAAACATTTCTCGTACTAGAATAAAAATAAAAAGGGAACCGATAATTAGTGTGTATTGATCCCCGGGAATGAATACTGCGGTTGCGCCGGCGGCGGGATAGTTTTTGATGTAACATCACAAATCAAGCATCACGTGTCACATGATGAGAGAGAGCGTAGTAGAGGTTGTTGAAGCGTCGATTCGTTTGTTCGTGTATGAAGAAGCAGCATTCTAAAATGTCAGGTAAATGGGGAAAATATGGAAAGAAATATCGCAAAGAATGGGTGACAGAGAAAGGACTAAAGGAGTGGATACGAAGTGTTCCAAATGACGATAAAAAGCGTGTTGTAAATATTGCAAATGTGAAATCAGAGCTCACCACGGTGATCTGGTAGCTCTTGCTGCAAATGAAAAACATAAAAAAATGCGGCTCCTTTCTCAAATGCCAGAACATTATTTGACACAGGCAGTTCCTTTCTTAGAACTAATGTTGCTGTGAAAGAGGCAGAGTTGAAGCTGGCTGCCCACGTTGCTTGTCACTCAAGCACTTCAACTATTGATCATTTAGGAAGTGTTGTGGAAGACATTTCCAAGAAAGGCATTAGTTTGCATCGAACAAAATGCACAGCACTTATTAATTCAGTGATAGGACCAGTAGTACACGAGGACCTTCTGGAGAATATTGGAGGTGGACCATACTCTCTTATTGTTGATGAGAGCACTGATGTCACAACCAGAAAACAACTTTGCATAGTCATCAGATATTACAGCAAGAAGCTTTCACGAATCATTAGCACTTTTGCAGGAATGATAAATATAGTAGCTGGTGATTCACTGACTATAGCTAATGCTTTGTTTAAATTCCTGGATGACAACAAATTGTCCATACTGAATTGCATCGGTCTTGCAACTGATGGTTGTAACACAATGTGTGGGCAACATAACTCAGTGCTACAGAAATTCCGTGAGCGCAATCCTCATATTGTCTATATAAAGTGTGTGTGCCATTCTCTTCAGCTCTGTGCATCAAAAGCTGTCAATGTCCTCCCCAGAAATGTTGAGTACATGATTTCTCAGACCTACAGTTGGTTTTCAAATGCCACCCAGCGTCTCCAAAAATATTCTGAACTGTACAAAACCATAAATGTAGGTGAAAGCCCTCTGAAGATTCTGCAACTCTCTGACACTAGGTGGCTCGCTATTAGTGAGTGCATCAACCGGATCCTTTCACAGTATGTGGAACTTAAGTTGCATTTTCAGTTGACAAAAGACAGTGAGAGGAGCTATGCTGCGGAACTGCTGTACCAAATGTATAGTGACAATATTAACTTGATATACCTGAAATTCCTCCAACCAATTGTTTCAGAGTTAAACAGACTGAATAAAATCTTTCAACTTGACAAACCCGATCCTTCAAAACTTCTAACGGAACTTTTAACATTTTACCGGTCCCTGCTTGAGCGCATAGGTTTGCCGAAGACATTCCAGAGCTGGCAAGACATTATGGAGTTTAACCTTTCTGATGAGAATCTTTTGCCACTTGATGCTGTAGACTTTGGGGTGCAGTTCCGTCTTGCTTTGTTTGAAGCCAATGGAATAAGTGACCTAGCTGAACAGGACATGAAACGCAGGTGCAGGGACTACATGCTAGAGTTATGTAAGGAAATTAGGAAGAGACTTCCAGATAACATTCAACAGTTAGAGGCTCTCAAATTCCTGTCACCAAGTCATGCTCTGTCGTCAAGTAAGCCAAGGATTGATGATCTTCCCTTTTTCCGCCTCTTCAAGGGAGATTTAGGAAAAGCAGAGCAACAGTGGAGAGTAATTCACTCTCTGGAATGGAAAAATGCAGAATATGGGAAAACAGAGGACTTCTGGGTAGAAGTTTCTGCATACACAGATACTGCAGGTGATAGAAACTTTGAAGATCTTGGCAATTTTGCATTGAGTCTTCTTGCATTACCATTCAGCAATGCAGCAGTTGAGCGTTCATTTTCTCAAATGTCACTGATAAAGAACAAGCTACGAAACAGGTTGGAGCAGAATTCTTTGCTAAATATAATGAGGATTCAAACTTACATGCAAAGAAGAAACATATGCTGACATGAATTTAAACCATCATCACGGATGCTTTCTCTCTTTACTGCTGAAATTTATTCAGCACCACCTGAGAAGGGTGGGGAAGAGAGCACACATGTCTAAAATAAAACAGCCCTGAGATTGTATATAGTTCTGTTCAAAGCTGTAATCAAAATGAGGCCATCTAAGAAGAAAATGTTGTGAAAAGTTCTGAAAAAAGAGAAAACAAACACCAACAAAAACAAAGGGACAAGTGTTCAAGTAAGCATATTGGTAATGACATTGATAAAAGCCAGTGTATGTTCATTTAGTGTAACAGTGCGTTAATTTTAATATTGATGCTTGTGTGTAAACAGAACAACAACAGATCTGGTGGAGAGAAGAGCATCAGAGAGAAGTGCTGAGAAAACAAAAAGTAAGTTAGTACTCCTACTAAGCATAAACATGTTGGCAATGACATTGATGAAAGCCAGTGTATGTTCATTTAGTGTAACATTGTGTTAATTTTAATATTGATGCTTGTGTGTAAACAGAACAACAACAGATCTGGTGGAGAGAAGAGCATCAGAGAGAAGTGCTGAGAAAACAAAAAGTAAGTTAGTACTCCTACTAAGCATAAACATGTTGGCAATGACATTGATGAAAGCCAGTGTATGTTCATTTAGTGTAACAGTGCGTGGAGAGAAGAGCATCAGAGAGAAGTGCTGAGAAAACAAAAAGTAAGTTAGTACTCCTACTAAGCATAAACATGTTGGTAATGACATTGATGAAAGCCAGTGTATGTTCATTTAGTGTAACATTGTGTTAATTTTAATATTGATGCTTGTGTGTAAACAGAACAACAACAGATCAGGTGGAGAGAAGAGCATCAGAGAGAAGTGCTGAGAAAACAAAAAGTAAGTTAGTACTTCTAAGCATAAACATGTTGGTAATGACATTGATGAAAGCCAGTGTATGTTCATTTAGTGTAACATTGTGTTAATTTTAATATTGATGTTTGTGTGTAAACAGAACAACAACAGATCTGGTGGAGAGAAGAGCATCAGAGAGAAGTGCTGAGAAAAGAAAAGGTAAGTTAGTACTTCTAAACTTACCATATGTGTGTGTGTATATATATATAGATATAGATATAAGATTATTTGAAATCCCTTTGTGGGATTCCAGCCGTTTAATCTGTGTAATCTGATTGGACACTGGAAAATTGGGCTAGTTTTCAGTCCATTTGGGCGGGTTTTGAGTTGTCATTGGGCTTGAAAAATTTCTGGGACCTGGCAACCCTGTGTATGCAAGTCCCAGTGGTTGTTCAGATCTCGGATTAGAACAAAATCACATTAGTCTGTATAAAAGCACTGCAGCAAGACACACTACTAAGGTTTCCATCCTCCCCGTGAAATAGGGGATCAGTAGATCAGCCGCGCTAATAAAGGGACAGATGAACATTGATCAAATCCTGTTTCTCTGATGCCGATATGAATATTACCCTGTATTTTAGATATTAAAATATTCAATATATCGTCATCAAAAGCATGGCAAAGAACTATATTTTGTTATTAGAGGAAATGGATTGGGGGTGGTGAACACATTAGGTGATCAGCATACTCTTAAAACGTGCACAACTTCAACTGTAACTTTAATAGAGTAGGTAAGACACTCTGGTCATTAGGTGGGTGTTTATGGTATTTCTAATTAATAGTAGAAAAGCGCTCGTTGACAGATTAAATAGGTGGCTCTTAAAAGAGCCTTTGTTTCAGTAATAAACTCTGTGAACCGTTTACTTAGATTTGGCGGGTTTCTCGGTCTTCTTGGGCAACAGCACGGCCTGGATGTTGGGCAGCACGCCACCCTGAGCGATGGTCACTCCGCCCAGAAGTTTGTTGAGCTCCTCGTCATTACGCACCGCCAGCTGCAGGTGACGGGGGATGATGCGGGTCTTCTTGTTGTCCCGAGCGGCGTTTCCGGCCAGCTCCAGGATCTCAGCGGTGAGGTACTCGAGTACCGCCGCCAGATAAACAGGAGCTCCGGCACCGACGCGCTCGCCGTAGTTACCCTTGCGGAGGAGCCTATGGACACGGCCGACGGGGAACTGCAGTCCCGCCCTGGAGGAGCGAGTCTTGGCCTTTGCTCGGGCTTTACCGCCGGTTTTGCCTCTGCCACTCATTTTCAATTCAGTCAATGCAGCCTAAAGTGGTAGAGTAATAGTTGCACTTCTCCACAAACTGTATTTAAAAGAGAGTTCCAGTCGCCCATTGGTTTAGAGTCTGTAAAGATTCAAACCAATCACTGAACTTCCCCCCGAAAGCCCAACCCCCTTTTCTGGCGTGGATTATTGAATGCACGTAATGACCTTTAAGACAGAGGAGAGAAAACAATAGAAATGTTTCACCGCACCCACCGTGGATGATAATGCTTCCAGACGTTGACATAACTTTGCATGAAAATATAAGAAATTATAAGGGTGATAGTGGTCAAATGGCTATGAGATATGTGGATAATTATTTTAGGTATGTGCAAATCTTTACTGATGGATCAAAGCAACCAGAAACAGGAAAAGTGGCAATTGCATATGTGATACCAGAGTTTGATATTAATTTTCATGCAAGAGTTTCGGATCATTTGTCAGTGTACTCAGCAAAACTGATAGCAATTGTGATGGTGTTGCAGTGGGTAGAACAAATTAAACCACTGAGAGTAGTTGTGTGGTCAGATTCGTTGTCAGCCTTAGAAAATTTTAAATTAGGTAATACGAGTGAGAGGCATGATATTGTGTGTGAGATATTGACTTTGCTTCATAGTATTCAAAATGGGGGGACGCATGTAAAGTTTGTTTGGGTCCATGTAGGGCCCGGCCCATGTAGGTATGGTTGGTAATGAGTTGGCAGACAAGTTTGCTAAACAGGCTTTGAAAGCGACAAATATGTCTATTATGTGTAAAATATCAAAGTAAATCAGAAGTCAGAAATCTGAAGCTAAGTCAATAATTAAAAAACGTGTTAAAAAGCTGTGGCAAGATAAATGGGATAGGGGAGATAAAGGGAGGGGTTTTTACCATGGACTGTAAAAAATGTTTTACATGATAAATCCTGAGGTTGGTCAAGGTCGTCTGGTTATAAGATGTCAAAGAGAAGAACACATTTTTACAAGAATGAGAATAGGACACACTGGACTAAACAAAACATTACAGCTAATAGGAAAACATGAGTCAGGAAATTGTGAGATATGTAATGTGCCAGAACAGTGGCACAATGTATAAGAAATTTAAGAGAGAAAGGGTTTTAATTAAAAGGAAAATAGAGGGTAGTGGGGAAAGGTTTATCGTTAGAGATATTTTATCTAAGGCTTCCGATCATAGAATAATAAAATACATGTTTGTATTTTTGAGCTATAGTGATCATCAAGCACAATCTATTTGAAGGGTGGCGGTAGTCCGCATCCACCGTTAAGCAGTCAAAGATGAAGAAGAAGTAGAAATGTTTGCTATCAATTTGAATAAGTACGAAAAAGGGTATTGTACACTTTTACTACCAAGAGTCCTGCACCTTTTCTCACACTGTAGCCTATATTCTGGGCACAATTACCATTTGATATTGCAGTGTTATGCTCATATTGCCTGGATATGTGGGTTGATTGTATTGTCACAATTTTTCAGCATAGTAACGTATTCTTCCTGTACTAGTAGTAATAGTACAACATATTTAGACTGATCACTGAATCATCTTCAGCTTTTTGGCAATTCACAATACATCTCGTACATATAATAATTTACTGGAGTTAGTCAATATTTACAAACATAGATGAGTTTTGCTCTTATTCAGAGTTAGTGGGTGGCTCTTAAAAGAGCCGTTGAGGAACAAACACTGGAATTTATTTCTTTTTGGGCGCTGCCTTTTTAGGCTTGGCGGCTTTAGGTTTTGCAGCTTTAGGTTTAGCAGCCTTTGCCTTTTTAGGGCTCTTGGCTGCTTTCTTAGCGACTGCTGGCTTCTTTGCCTTCTTGGGGCTCTTCGTCGCCTTCTTAGCGGCCTTGACTGCGGGCTTCTTGGCCTTCTTGGGCGATTTCTTGGCGGCGGGCTTCTTTGCCGCTGCGCTCTTGGGCTTCTTGGCAGCGACGGGTTTCTTGGCCGCGGGCTTCTTCGCTTTAGGAGCCGCTTTCTTGACCGGTTTCTTCTTGGTCTCGGCTTGCTGCTTGTTGAGCTTGAATGAGCCCGAAGCGCCGGTCCCTTTGACCTGCTTCAGGGTGCCTTTAGTCACCAGGCTCTTGATGGCGATCTTGACGCGGGAGTTGTTCTTCTCCACGTCGTATCCGCCGGCAGCGAGCGCTTTCTTCAGCGCGGCGAGGGACACGCCGCTCCTCTCCTTGGATGCGGACACCGCTTTAACGATGAGCTCGCCGACGCCTGGACCTGCTTTCTTGGCTTTTGCAGCGGACTTCTTCTTAGGCGCTTTGGCCGGGGCTGCAGCAGCGGGTGCGGGAACGGTTTCTGCCATTTCTCTCTTTCTCGATGAACAGTCTTTCAAACTACTTTCGTTTCAGCAATGTATGGCGCTCTCGCGGCGCTGCGCTCTTAAATAACGCATGAGAACCTAATAGACTCAATCTACCCGCTCGGCATATGAGCGCGTCAACAAGCCCTTCTCTCGTGTGTTTTCTTCTCTAACATTTGGTTAAAAATTGGAGTGGTAAAATAGTTTGGTTCAGCCAAAACAAAATTAACACCAAGCAGAGGTTCTGGGCTTTCATCGGAGACTAAAATACCCAATGATGAAATGTTTATTTTGCCTTTGTCAGATCAAATCCAAGGCGAGCATCAGCCACGGGGAAAAGCAGCGTGTAAATTTGATGGATATTTTCAGTGGAAATGTTGACAAAAGCCTGAAAACTTTATCTGTGTGTTCAGAAAACAGTCTGAAATAGATTGTAATGAAATCAGCATTAGCGAGGGGCATGAGGAGGCTTTTATACAGATGTTTTTGGGGCAGCTTGAAGCACACGAGCATCAGTCTCTCTGTGAATCTCATGTCTGACCAGCAGATGATCTGTCCTTAAAATAATTATAATTTGTATAAATATTAATAATAAATATCCTTTCCATGAGATGATGTACATCATATCAGCTAAATAGAAAATGTAAATCGTCATATTTGCTTAACCTTATTCGTTATTTAATGTGAATGAGGATCTTGTTAAAGCTCATCTGAATGAGCCGCTCATTTAAAGCAAGGCAGAGCAAGTGACTCAACAAAAAAAAAAACTGCCCCCAGTTTCATATAACTCTTGTTCTGTTGCTTTTACTTTTCTGTACAATGTTTGAAACTTTGTATTGCAAGCATTCCTTATGACATTGTCTCATTAAGATGATTCGCTTGTATTTCTCCTGGTCGTTTTGGATAAAATCATCTGCTAAGTTAATGTGACAAAGAATAGGTCAAATAAGTTTGTTATATTTTGATTTACCACCACTGAAAGCTAATTCGTAAAATAGTCATATAATTTGCACTATATGTTTGATACATTTGCACAGATTTCAGGGTTTTGGTCATACTAGTATTTAGAGGCGGACAGAGTACACAGCTTTATTACTTGAGTAAAAGTACAGATACCCCTTGCTAAATTTTACTCAAGTTCAAGTAAAAGTACTACAGTCAGATGTCTACTTGAGTAAAAGTACTGAAGTACTTGTTTTTAAAAGTACTTGAGTATCAACAGTACATTTTCTAAATATTGCATTACTACTGCCACAGTGCTTACATTTATGCACAGAAACGTCCTACTTGGAGTTATGAAAAAGTCAATACCTTGGAGAATGTAAAAGAAGTTGAAAGTAAAATCAAGTCGTATTCATCTTTTTACCATGTTGCTTTATTTTTAACATTTAAGAAAATTTCAGAAAATTCCGAAAATTTAAATAGTCTGGCTGGCGAGGTGGGGCGACGGGCTGGCACATTCCCGGGATGGACCTGCTGCGTCATCATCCATTGGTTTTGTCCATGGTTTGGTCTCTGATCTAAATCTTACCATGGACTTGACTTTGGCGGAAAGCTGAAGGTGATTGCTGATAGGTTGTCCCAATCAGTGGCACCTGTACAATCCAATCACGTTTGAGAGGGAAACAACAATTTGAGGGTTTCCAAGATTTTTCTTATTTCCATTTTTTTTTTTTTTTTTAGAAGTAGTTACTTTTTACTCACGGTTATGGATAGAAATGTATTGGAGTAAAGAGTACAATATTTCCCTCTCAAATATACTTGAGTAAAGTCATGAGTACTCCCCAAAAAATGATACTCGAGTAAAGTACAGATCCCTCAAAATTGTACTGTAACTCAAGTAAATGTACTCCGATACTGTCCGGCTCTGCTAGTACTAAGTTCAGCTCTAACCCAAACCATATCAAGATAATGAAGATGAAGAATTACACAGACAGGTTTAACTGGGATCAGTGATAAAGCATGAGGACACTGGAGTTGAAGGGCTGAAAATAACTAAAACTTTTTGAATTAAACACTCAAAAACAAATTATGTTTTATTAATGTAGTTCGGGAGGAACACGTCAAATGGGCTACTCTAGCATCATCAGCTGTCTACAATCAGTAATCAACAAATACTCTAGTATCTCCAGCTGTCTTCAGCACGAAGGCAAACCATATATAAGCCCAGTCAAACTCACTTAAGGATGTTCTACAGTCTTCAGAATCCCTCCGCCACCCCATCTCCTCACACTCACCAGGTCACTTCCTAAACAGGGGGGAATACTCTGCGTTTGAGCCAAGTACCAAGATCAGAGCTCTCTCCCCGGACAGCACGCCAAATATGTTTACCAATTGAATCTATCCGACCGATTTGTAAGTGTGAACTCGTGAATTCAGTTGCTTAAACATTTTCAATTTAATTCCTAAAATGTGTTTCCTGGAATTGAAAACAACAGGGGATATGAGAGTATTCTGATCCAAGACTATATTTGTCTGTAAGATCCATTTTCAGGTACTCTCTGCAGCATCGAAGCATCTGTCAGTCATCAGATGGAAACAGGCCTGGACCCCTGTGATGTGTGGGATCAGTGCGAGATCAATGATCAAAACACAGAGACAATGTAGTATCACATTCTCAACTTTAAGGAAGAAGGGTCATATTTATACAAGATAAAGCAGAATCATCTACAATGCAGGCCATCCAATCATAGAACTGAAAGATCATCCCCATACAGAGTATTAATATAATATAATAACAAGCGAGGTCAGAAGTTCAAATGAATGTGTGCGTCTTGAGTTTGAGTGTACGAGTGTGTCCAAGTAATGGTTTTTGTTTTGTGTGTCCATGATGTGCGCATAACTTAGCATAGCATAGCATAACATAACAGCTTAAAGGGGTGATGAACTGTGAAATCAAATTTTCCTTGAGCTTTTGATATCTAAGAGGTTATCATATTATAAGTTATATCCTGTAAGTTTCAGAACTGAAAACGTCCTTGTTAGTCCAATAAAAGCTTTTATTTACACCAGCCTCTGAAAACGTCTCGTTTTGAAAAGTTGGAATCTATGACGTCGAAGGGGTTAAAACACCACCCCAGCAGAAGAAGATCAACGCCTACTTCAACTAGCCCCGCCCACCGATTCGCGCATTACACGCATAGCTAAGTAGCCTAACATACATGCTACCTCGTGATGACAAACCGGATCGTTCTACCGAGCAATACAGAATATTTTGCAGTGCCTGTTTGTGGAAGAAGACAGTCGCTGCATAAGCTTCCTCTGGATTCCAATAGGACTTCATGGATAAAATTTATTTTTAATGACGTTCCAGCTGGTGAGGGTAAAACATCGTCGTCTGTTCGCTTCATTTCACTGAGGATTGTTTTGTAAACAAGACCGATTAAGAGTAAAGAACAGTGCTGTTCCATCTATATTGGATCTGAGAGGAATTGTGCAACACACGGACTCTGGGTTGAACATGTATGGGCGAATCCGGTTGCCATTTGACAACATTGGACGTTTTCCCCCACGTACACCAACGGGTGAGTGAAACTCATTATAATATGCAAAACTGTTCTCCACTCGCAGCAGTGGGTGTTTACTTCCAAGTCTTCAGTGCGACACGCCCATAAAAACCGACCGTTTTTCAGGAAGGCTCACAACTTGGGTACAAAATAGCCTATTACTTATTCATTTTGATGTTTTTGAATGCAAAAACCAAGCGAACGTCTTAAGTTGACCTCAGACAACAATATAATAACATTTTAAAAGCCAGTTCATGACCCCTTTAATAATGCAATACCCAAATACTGAAACCCAATGTTATACTAGATGCAGTATTTGTTTAAAGAAACTATATTAACTTTGATAATATTACGAGCCAGTCGGATGTCTCACTGACTAGTTTATTAAAAGCAAAAATGACTATATATATATATATATATATATATATATATATATATATATATATATATATATATATACCATGATCATGGTAAGTTCTTGGAGGTTATAGTCCTGTTAAGCAAAGAGCATTTAAAGGAATGTATTGAAAAATCCAAGAAGATTCATCAAACTGGGACCAAAGGCAGAGGTTCCATGGTTTTATCACTGTCTGCAAGAACCATCAATTCTGTCATTAACTCCATTCAGCAGCTTATGTGTGTATCAAATGTTCTCACTTCAGATTGACACCACACAGGACATCACCTCACAAGACCAGTGTTCTGTTGTTGTATGATATGTTACAGACAAAATTCACGAAAGGATTATCGGCATTGTCAAGTGCAAGGAATCAACTGGACAATATTTTGTCAGTCTTGTTTCAGAGCTTACTGAAAAGCTCAATTTGGATCTGAGCAAGTGTATCGGAGATGCTACAGATGGTGCGTCTAATAGGTAAGGCCAATACAAAGGCTTTTCCACTCAGATGTCAAAAGTGGCACCAAATCAAGTGCACGTTTGGTGTTATGCACATGTACTAAACCTCTTTCTGGCTGACACAACCCAAACAGTAATAGAAAGTGGTTCACTGTTTGCAGTTCTCAATGATATCGCTGTGTTCTTTCGTGACAAAAGGATGAATGTGTGGGAAAGTGAGAGCCAGGGCAAGCACCAGAGGCGACTCTCACCAATTGGCGAGACAAGGTGGGGGGCCAAAGATAATGCTCTCAGGAAAATGTTTGGATCATTTGCAAATCCAGATAATTGTCTCTATGTGGATGTCATCCTTGCATTGACTGCAATACAAAAGGTTATGACCATGAAAACAACTGCTCGCGTTCAAGCACTAAGATTTGTTGAGGCTCTGTTTAAGTATGAGATGATACTGACAGCACAAACCTTCATCAGGATATTTGAGCAGACATCACCACTGTCCAAATACCTCCAAACACAAGGGATGGATATTTTGTCTGCCCACAGAATGGTAATGGCAACACATGAAAGCATGAAAAGCATGTCAAGAGACTTTTCCTCAGTCAAAGCAGTTGCAGGGAAATTTGTTCTGTGGGCAAAAGAAAAATTGCAGGAGCAAGACAAAGAGATAGAGCTGGAAGTTGAGTCTGCAATGCCATCAAAAAGGAGGAGGAGGAAGACAACCAGGATTCCTGTAGATTCCTCATGCTGAAACTGTCACAAATCCAGAAAAGGTGTAAGTAACAGTCCATAATCAGATCATGGACACAGCTACTGAGACATTACACAGGAGGTTTCTGGGTCATGGAACACTCTATGCTGACCTTGCATTTCTAGATCCCAGGAACTTCAACTAGTTAAAGACATCCTCTTTACCACCATCAATGTTCCAAGAGCTCAGCAAATGTCTGTTGAGGTTTGACAGTGAAGCAACTGCTGAGAATTTACAATGTGAATTTAGAAGTTTTGTTCTGCAGTGGGAAAAATTGAAAATGTATCAGCTCGATGAGTTCAAGGTCAAAACATTGGAAGACAAGACCGAAGATGAGGGGGTTGAAATCCGATGCAAGGAGTGTTCCTCATGTAATGAATGTCCACTGTGTTGCTACAAGATTCTCGGGAGGTTCAATCTGATGTCAAAAGCCTACCACCTCCTAGGTCTGGCATACAAGTTCCTGCTCACCCTGTCAATCACTCAGGTTGCCTGTGAGCGCACATTTTCAACACTTAAGTTCATTAAAACCAGACTCAGAAGCAAGCTGTCACAGGAGCACTTGGAAGCTTTTATGTTGATGGCAACAGAGAGGGACATCCTTTTCTCTCTTGACTCTGATGTGATTGATCATTGACAAAGTTGCAGAGAAAAGTGAACTGTTTTCTAGGCTTCTTCTGTAGGTCCTGGCAGTGATGTTGTACCTCATGAAATATAGTTTAAATAGTTAATATAGTATACCCTAAGCATTAATATTTCTATTAAAATAATAAGTGGCACATAAATTAAGACCTTTAGTTATTTACAATAAAGCCTGCAAAATCATTTGCATTTTCTTTGCTTATTATTTTAAAAGTTTTGTCTGGGTTTTGATAGTAAATAAATTGTAAATATTAATTTACATGCAGATTAATGCACGTATAGACGTACGTGTGTGTGTGTGTGTGTGTGTGTGTGTGTGTGTGTGTGTGTGTGTGTGTGTGTGTGTGTGTGTGTGTGTTATGTGACACGGCGCTGGTTTCTTTCAGGTCCTGTAAGCACAAGTAAAAGACGATCTTGTAACACGCATAGTACATATTACTGGCCTTTAACTCATCGATTGAAACGCTCAGTGTTAATCATGTCTGGAAGAGGCAAAGGCGGTAAGGGACTCGGGAAAGGAGGCGCTAAGCGTCACCGTAAAGTTTTGCGCGATAACATCCAGGGAATCACGAAACCCGCCATTCGTCGTCTGGCTCGCCGCGGAGGTGTCAAGCGCATCTCCGGTCTGATCTACGAGGAGACCCGCGGAGTGTTGAAGGTGTTTCTGGAGAACGTGATCCGCGATGCCGTCACCTACACCGAGCACGCCAAGAGAAAGACCGTCACCGCCATGGATGTTGTGTACGCGCTGAAGAGACAGGGACGCACCCTGTACGGCTTCGGGGGATAAACGCCTGAAACCAGGACAAACCACACAAACCCAAAGGCTCTTTTAAGAGCCACACACTCTGACACATAAAGAGTCAATGTTCCATGTCAAATCAAAGAATTAAGTTTCAGGAGTTTTGGTTTTCTCAATTACGGTTACATCTAATTTAAGAACCCGTAAATGTTTTACAGTAATGGATCAAGAATATCGATACCTTTCTACTTTCAATGTGATAAACCAAATGAAACCGTTTGGTTTTATTTTACATGTTAATCTTTTCCACGAACACTTATCCACAAAATCAACAAACAAAAAAAAACAATTAGATGAAATGGTACCAGTTAGCAGAAATGAGAATGCAGATATATTTCTGTTTTTAAACATCTTATGACGTTTTTAAAGTGTATCTGACCATTATTGGTCTCTTTTCTCCCAAACTCGCTTAATGGGTTTATACGAAGATTTAAAATTACACGATCATGCACAATATTAGAACCGCTTATTTTCCTCACAAATTAGTACTAAATAAAAAGAGCGGGAAACGAAACAAATGAAACTTGCTGGAAGTGTGAAGTTCAAACATGAGACGGTGGGCGGAACTATATCTTATTCACACCTGTGATTGGCCCGCGTTCCTCTCAAGTTGTCCAATGAAATGTGAGTTTGTGGGTTTGGTCTATGGAAACAGACAATCAGATATTTCCCTAACACTTTGAAAATTAGCATAGAGCAGTGAATAAATCCCTCTGTATCGCACTGTTGCTTACATTATCTCGTCAGACTTGTGATATCGCATCATCATGCCTGAACCAGCAAAGTCCGCTCCTAAGAAGGGATCCAAGAAGGCTGTCACCAAGACCGCCGGTAAGGGAGGAAAGAAGCGCAGAAAGTCCAGGAAGGAGAGCTACGCCATCTATGTCTACAAAGTCCTGAAGCAGGTCCACCCTGACACCGGCATCTCCTCCAAGGCGATGGGCATCATGAACTCTTTCGTCAACGACATCTTCGAGCGCATCGCCGGTGAGTCGTCTCGCCTCGCGCACTACAACAAGCGCTCCACCATCACTTCCAGAGAGATCCAGACCGCCGTGCGTCTGTTGCTGCCCGGAGAGCTGGCCAAACACGCCGTGTCCGAGGGCACAAAGGCCGTCACCAAATACACCAGCTCGAAGTGAGGCCTGCCCGACTTCAACTACCCCAAAGGCTCTTTTAAGAGCCACACATTTTCTCAGATAAAGAGCTTTTGTGTTATCTAATGCTTTTAATTCTATAAGTTCTTTGAGTTTGCAAATATAAACATTGACTTGGGTTTCTGAGGAGTTTAAGGCTGAACTCGTTTTACAACCCTAATCTATTTCATTCTGTCGTTTAATATTTTTTTAAAATAAGGTTGTCTTTTCCTTCCTTGCTCTAAATGGCCTACTACTCTCAGTATTTTGTATCTTGTGTAAATCTCATCAAACCGCAAACTGTTCCTTACATTTGAAACTCACTCAACTGTTTTACATTTACCTTTGTTCTAATTTCATCAACCATGTGTGCAGATACACGTTAAATACAAAAAACTTAATTCATGTATGAGTAAAATTACCCTTTTATGAACTACTACCAACTCTTCTTCCAATTGTCAAATAAAAACATTATTTTACTTCCATATGAAAGACAATGATTTTACTTGGAAAATTGGAAGAAAAGTTGGTAGTAATTTATAAAAGGGTTACTTTACTCTAACATGAATATAAAATACATGGAAATAAAGTTTTTGCATTTAACTTGTATCTGCACGCATGGCTGATGAAATTAGAACAAAACAAATGTTTATAACGTTGTAGCCCCCAAACCGTAATCACTTTATAGCCCTTAATCCTGTAATTTTGGACAAATGTGGGCACAGAGGACTAAGGTGTGATCCTAATTTTTAGTTTTTATAAATGTTATATCACTGTCTTTGATAAAGTTTTTTTTATCCATTTATCGTTTTTTTTTTTTTTTTTGCCGGTATTTTTGAATTTATTTCATTCAAAAAGTACCAAATTTTCTATGTAAATTATGCTTATTTTCTGTCACCTGGTGTCTTATTTTGGCTTATTTTAGAATGCTCCAGTCTAATTTAGTTTTTCCCCATTCATTTCTTGGGTGCCAATTTTCAACCCAAATACAAGATTAAGGAGTTTTGTGTTCAGGAGGCAAACTTAGGCAAAGTAGCAAAGTCTTGTACCGCTCAGATCAAGAGAAGTATTCATTTATCTATTTATTAAATAAATTACATTATCTCTTTGATTTACACAAGCTGGATTAGGGTTGTAAAACGAGCTCAGCCTTACACTCCTCAGAAACCCAAGTCAATGTTTATATTTACAAACTCAAAGAACTCATAGAATTAAAAGCATTAAATAACACAAAAGCTCTTTATCTGAGAAGATGTGTGGCTCTTAAAAGAGCCTTTGGGGTAGTTGAAGTCGGGCACGCCTCACTTCGAGCTGGTGTATTTGGTGACGGCCTTTGTGCCCTCGGACACGGCGTGTTTGGCCAGCTCTCCGGGCAGCAACAGACGCACGGCGGTCTGGATCTCTCTGGAAGTGATGGTGGAGCGCTTGTTGTAGTGCGCGAGGCGAGACGACTCACCGGCGATGCGCTCGAAGATGTCGTTGACGAAAGAGTTCATGATGCCCATCGCCTTGGAGGAGATGCCGGTGTCAGGGTGGACCTGCTTCAGGACTTTGTAGACATATATGGCGTAGCTCTCCTTCCTGGACTTTCTGCGCTTCTTTCCTCCCTTACCGGCGGTCTTGGTGACGGCCTTCTTGGATCCCTTCTTAGGAGCGGACTTTGCTGGTTCAGGCATGATGATGCGATATCACAAGACTGACGAGTTAATGTAAGCAACAGTGCGATACAGAGGGATTTATTCACTGCTCTATGCTAATGTCCAAAGTGTTAGGGAAATATCTGATTGTCTGTTTTCAGAGACCAAACCCACACATTTACATTTCATTGGGCTGCTTGAGAGGCGTGAGGACCAATCACAGGTGTGGATAAGATATAGTTCCGCCCACCGTCTCATGTTTGAACTTCACACTTCCGCCAAGTTTCATTTGTTTCGTTTCCCGCTCTTTTTATTTAGTAATATTTTCTGAGGAAAATAAGCGGTTCTAATATTGTGCATGATCGTGTAATTTTAAAACTTCTTATAAGCCCATTGAGCGAGTTTGGGAGATAACGGACCAATAATGGTCAGATACACTTTAAAAATGTTATTGTTTAGATGTTTAAAAACAGAAATATATCTTCGTTCCTACATTCTCATTCCTGCTAACTGGTAAGTTACCGTTTTTATATAATTACTTGTTTTTCTTGTTGATTTTGTGGAAAAGCGTTTGTGGAAAGGATTATTGTGTAAAACAAAAAGGTTTAATTGAGTATTTATTACATTTAAAGTAGAAAAAGGTATCGATATTCTAGACCCATTAACTTACTGTGAAACATTTACGAGTTCTGAAACTTTGACTTGACATGAAGCATTAACTCTTTATGTGTTAGAGTGTGTGGCTCTTAAAAGAGCCTTTGGGTTTGTGTGGTTTGTCCTGGTTTCAGGCGTTTATCCCCCGAAGCCGTACAGGGTGCGTCCCTGTCTCTTCAGCGCGTACACAACATCCATGGCGGTGACGGTCTTTCTCTTGGCGTGCTCGGTGTAGGTGACGGCATCGCGGATCACGTTCTCCAGAAACACCTTCAACACTCCGCGGGTCTCCTCATAGATCAGACCGGAGATGCGCTTGACACCTCCGCGGCGAGCCAGACGACGAATGGCGGGTTTCGTGATTCCCTGGATGTTATCGCGCAAAACTTTACGGTGACGCTTAGCGCCTCCTTTCCCGAGTCCCTTACCGCCTTTGCCTCTACCAGACATGTTCAACACTGAGAGTTTCAATCGACGAACGAAAGACTACAAATGTGTGCCGATGGTATTCAGAGGAAGTCTTTTACATGTGTTTACAGGACCTGACAGAAGCCAACGCCGCGTCACATGACACACACCCCTCCCCCAAAAAATAGTCAGAGGCGAGCACATGTGATTTATTTCCAACCGTAACCTTTGTTTCATACTGCAATTTGTGCAATTTATTTCACAAAGGTGAAATTCTATGGATTCAATTATGTCTATCAGAGATTAGGAAAGGCTTGACAAATAAAGAAATGGTAATAGCTGTCTTTCTTTTTTGATATCTATATGCTGTGGAAAGAAGAAATCCTTACAAAACAAAATGAATTGGTTATAGGGGGTAGACTACAATTGGGTATTAGACTTCTTGGTTGGTGGAACAATAGAAATAAAGGCAGGTAAGGAGTATTCTAGAATGCACTTTGTAGAAAACAGAACACTGCAGGTAGTGTATGTAGTCCACTGATATTTAATATAAGGACAAATGACATTTTTGAACAAGTTGAACATGGTATAGGAAAATCATTATGTGGCGAATGATGGGGCCCTTTGGATTAGGGGTCGACATCTAGAATAAAGAACTTGAGCAAGTTAGGGTGATTCGATTTCTTGGAGTTTTATTTGATAGAAAGCTTACAGACAACACACTGATAAAATGAAAACAAAATGCAAGAAAATTCTAAATATATTGAATGTAGCTAGCTGTGTAATTGTACATGAAGTGTTTTGTAGTTTCTTAGCAAAAAAGAAAACAAAAAATGCCTATTGCCACACATGCTTTTTGCTGTATAGTTTCATTTTATCTCAATTTTACCTTTTTATATGTTGTATTTGCACTATTTGGAAACCCTCATACTAGGGGAATGTAAGGCCTTAAATATAGCTCTCTGTATAGACCATTTCACAAGATGTAAACAACACTGGTCCAGAAGCACTTCCTGTTTCAGTTTGTAACTGTTGTCTTTATTTCACATGTAAAGAAAACATCTTAAAGATGTTTGTTTAACTTTTTGATTCAGTTTTAAATGTTCTGTTGGTTGTATTTTATCCCAGCTTTTATGTAGTGTTAAAAAACTGAAACAGATTCGGATTTTGTGTTTTTGTGTGATTTTGGGTCCAGTATGTTGATACAGTACATCAAAGTGATAAACTAATTGTCTGGTCATATAGGTGATGTTGTGCTGAAAAAAAATGGTACCAAAAATTGGTATAGTAAACATTTGTTTATGTCGCAAAATTAAAAAAAAATAAAAAAGTACTCAAAAAGGGCCAAAATAGCCCAAGACTCCGAAGGGTTGAACAATATAAAACAAGCTCAAGATCTAAGAATATGTAGTGGGTTTTTAAAACATCTCCAGTTGCGGCAGATGCCGTTGGGTCTCAGAAGACTTACACTAATACTAGCATATTGGGTAAACCTGCAAGAACATACATTTCTGCAAAGACTACACAGGAATGTTGGGAACATAGTAAATCTAATTTTCAGAGTTTTGGATGGGTTGTGAATAAAAAAGCAAGAGAAGTAGGTTTGAATAGTATACAATATTGTCCTACTGTCAGATATTCAAATATCACTCTAAAAAATGCTGGGTTGTTTTAACCAAAATGTGTGTCAAATATGGACAAACCCAAACATTTAAACATTTAACCCAATGGCTGAGTTTGACCCAAAGATGGGATAAAACAACCCAGCATTTTTTAGAGTAATGCTAATGACTGATTTACAAAAACATGAGGAAATAAAAGATAATTCAAAGCAAATACCTGTCTGGTTTGTTGTACAAAGATACTTAGAAAGTAATTTTCTTAATAAAATAATGATTTTCACAGATGGTTTAAGGAAATGGACATACAAAAGAACAACAGATAATCTTTCAGTTTACACAGTAGAACTAGTAGCATTATATTGGGATTACAGTGGGTAGATGAATATAACACACAACATGTTTCAGTTGCATCTGATAGTTTGGCACTAGTTGATGTACAGCTGCACTACTTCCTGACTTAAGCCAGCTCCTTGTTTCCTGTCTGCCATTATTGGCCGAACTTGATTAATTCAGGTGTGTCTGATTATTGTTGCTGTGACTACTGAGGTCAGGCACACCTGGATTAATCAATTTGGCCAATAATGGCAGACAGGAAACAAGGAGCTGGCTTAAGTTCAGGAAGTGGTGCATCTGTGCATAAAGTCCATTGAAATATATAAAATAATACAGATTACACAATAAAGGTGTGAGTGTATGATTTGTGTTCCTGCAGATGTTTTGTGACAGGAAATGAAGAAGTGGATTATGTTGGCTAAACAATCCCTTAACCCACCAACCCCTTGAATCCCTTAAATCACCAACAGTTGATTTGCAGGTTGCATTAAGTGAAACTGAGACATTTAAAAGATCACACTTTGGGATATCAATGATACAGGAAGACATTTGTATAGTATTCAAAGCTCTTTTGGCATGAAAAGGGAGATGAGTAAAAATCAAAGTGAAGAAAGGATGACATACAGGGCTCAACAAGACACCTCATCTATTAGGTAGACATATAAATGGAGTGTGTTTATATTGCAATCAATCAGAATCAGTCCAACATGTGATGATGATTGTAATGGCAGTGATCTTTGTAACTCTCTTACAATTACAAAAATCACAGCAGTTATAGCCTATAGTATCCACCTGCAGACCCGCAGCACACCAGTTTCAGAACCCCAACGCCAGGGCCGTAAGTGAGGGGCGGAGCTTAGGTTCGAAACCTAATAACGCCACCTAATGTAATTTGGAGGGTATTTTACACATGAAACAGCTTTTATTGAACATGAAATGTCCTACTCTCTAGGCATGTATGTTATGATGCTACATTAGCCTACAGTACAATAAGCATTTTAAAACATTGATTTTGTTTAATATGATTGTATATAGTTTCAGTTATCCGTTTCATTGTATTATGAGTTACTTCCTGATCATGATAAAAAATAATACTTTAAACTTATGGGCATTTTAATGTATAACAGTTTAATAATTTTAGCTAAGCAGTTTATGCATACGTGTAGATTTATGAAGGTAAGACCTTTGTTTTTTTGGTTTTTATAAAGGAGATAACTTTCTATAATAAGGCTTTGAAAGATATAAAACAAGACACGCATTGGAGGTTTTCAAAATTATTCACAATTCGATAACTGATTAGACCTCTGTGATATTTTATGTACTATTTATTTATTTATTGTGTTTACAAAATCTTAAGTTGTTTTGATATTGAAGATATGTATTTGTAAGATGATTTTGATTGTTTAATTAAAAAATAAAAAGCATGGGTATTTTTTATTAAATATACTTTATTTCACAAGAACATGTGCAGCATGCATTTTTTTCGTGTAAAATAATAATGCCAGAATCTAAAAAAGAGAGAGAAAATCCGGCATTGTTTTAAACGAAACAATACAAATGTATACAAACTGACCAATTCAACCCCGTAGGCCTGCTTTATCACAACAATCTTGCATAAATTTAACTTACAATGTATCAAATGAGGAACTCACTCAGGCCCATTTTGTCCTTACATTCTTGCTAAAATAATTATAATGCAATAATAATAATTCCGCCCCTCCCTCACTTCCGGTTCTGGCACTGGGGTTCTGAAACTGGTGGTGCTGCGGGTCTACAGCTGGATATATCTCGTTATAGCCTTCACGAAAGTCTGAGCTACGTCCTTACTTCGACTTGAAAGATAAAGACTAAGAAATATACACTTCTCAAACACAAAACGAGCCCACAAGTATTCACCAATATAGCGTTTTTTGACATTATTCTCCGCAAACAGTACACTCATCTCCACTCCCACATGATCACAGTATACACTAGTTTATGATAGAGGAAATTTAAAACACTTTATATCCTACATAGATTGACCTCTGACACTTCCGTTTGATCCTGTAATGACGATTTAGAGGTCACAACATAACCAGAACAGATTGATTTCAATATTGTCAGTACTTCTCTGTATGTTGTCCTTCTTTTCATATGAGATTAAGTTACTGTATTCAATGCAGTGCCGCAACTTTTCTTGAAAAGCAAAAAAGCGCCACTCTGCTGTTGTTATAAGTCAGACCTGGAAGTTACTGTAACCATATACCAATTTTTAATATGATTTATCGTCAGCACTACATAGGAAATTCTCTCATTCAGTGTGAACTTTGGTGGCTCTTAAAAGAGCCGTTGTGGGTTGAATCAGACGCCGGTTTAAGCGCGCTCTCCGCGGATGCGGCGGGCCAGCTGAATATCTTTGGGCATGATGGTGACCCTCTTGGCGTGGATGGCGCACAGGTTGGTGTCCTCGAACAGACCGACCAAGTAAGCCTCGCTGGACTCCTGCAGGGCCATGACAGCGGAGCTCTGGAAGCGCAGGTCCGTCTTGAAGTCCTGAGCGATTTCTCTCACCAGCCGCTGGAAGGGCAGTTTGCGGATCAGCAGCTCGGTGGACTTCTGATAGCGGCGGATCTCCCGCAGAGCCACGGTCCCGGGCCGGTAGCGGTGAGGCTTCTTGACGCCGCCGGTGGCCGGAGCGCTCTTACGGGCGGCTTTAGTAGCGAGCTGCTTCCTCGGGGCTTTACCACCGGTGGATTTACGAGCGGTCTGCTTGGTTCTTGCCATTGCTGTTGTATTCTTCTCTCTGTCCTGCTTGCGCTGGATATGTTACTCTCTGTGTTACACGCCCGATTTTAAAGCATTGAGGCGCCACGAGCTCATTGTGTCGCGATGATGCAGGCCTTGTGATTGGTTAGTAGGTGACGTCTGCGCATGAGTGCCAGCCAATGACTGCGCGTTTCCTCTTTTCAAACAATCGGAGAGCAGAGTTCCCGCTCGAGCTGTTTTGTTCCGTTGACTACGTTGGGCGCCTTTATACTTAAAACATTGTATTTATTTGTATTTAAGTTCCAGTGGTTGTGCAGATTTCAGATTAGAAAAAAAAAAACATTACAGTCTGCATAAAAGCACTGCAGCAAGACACACTTCTAAGGTTTCCATCCTCCCCGTGAAATAGGGGATCAGTAGATCAGCCCTGATAACAAAGACCCAGAGGAACATTGATCAACCACCTTGGATATTGCCAGAAGTAAAAGTAGATCTAGTTTTATTAGGAATGAAGAACAAAGACATGGGGTTCATTTTTGACTCGTATAATGTACAGGAGTAAATTGATAATTATAATAGTTAAATTCAGATTTACACAGATGCATCAAGGAGTTTAGATAATAGAGTAGAAGTAGCGTTTTTTTGTTCCAGAGTTTAATATTTTAGCAGCAAAAAGAATCAGTGATAATGTGTCAGTATACACAAGAGAAATGCTAGCAATTTTGTTAACAGTACATAGTGGAAGTAAGACCGTTAAGAACTATTATTTGTTCAGATTCTGTATCATCCTTAGTTAGTTTACAGAGCAATCATTAGAACCGATGTATTAATAGAGATGCATCAAGCATTATATAGAATTCAAATGATGGGTATTACAGTTATATTTGTGTGGGTTCCAGCACATATTGGATTCAAAGGAAACGAAAAGGCAGATAATGCTGCAAAGGTGGCCACGAGAAGAGAATTGATGTAGAAGTTAACATGAGTAAGATTGAAATTACATATATGGCAAGGAAAAGGAGAGATGAGACAATTATATCTAGACTCAGATTTGGGCATACAGGATTAAACAGTACTTTATTTAAAATAGGTAAACATAAACACTGGCAGATGTGAATACTGCGAACAACAAGTGACAATAGAACACGTCATGATATACTGTAAAAAATATGAGGGAAAAGGGAGGGAAATGATCCAAGTTGCCTAAAAGGCATTCAGTTATACACTCCATACCAGTTGGTGGCAGTAATACATGTGCCAACTGCCAAAAATATCTAGAAGAAGGCACATTGATCAAATCCTTTTTCCCTGAAGCCGATATGTATATTACCCTTTAAATTAGATGATCATTTATTAAAATATTCAATATAGTCAAAGCATGGAAACTATATTTTAATATCAGAATAAATGAATTGGGTGGTAAACATACATTAGGTGAGTATGTTCTTATAACATGTACATAACGTCAACTGTAACGTTTATGGTGGAGATAAGACACTGTTGTGTAGGTGGGTTATTTTCCTCCTTGACCAAAATTGTTTATGGTGTTTATAAATATTAACAGAGAAAAGCGCTCGTTAACAGATAAAATAAGTGGCTCTTAAAAGAGCCTTTGTTTCAGTAATAGACTCTATGATCCGTTTACTTCGATTTGGCGGGTTTCTCGGTCTTCTTGGGCAACAGCACGGCCTGGATGTTGGGCAGCACGCCACCCTGAGCGATGGTCACTCCGCCCAAAAGTTTGTTGAGCTCCTCGTCATTACGCACCGCCAGCTGCAGGTGACGGGGGATGATGCGGGTCTTCTTGTTGTCCCGAGCGGCGTTTCCGGCCAGCTCCAGGATCTCAGCGGTGAGGTACTCGAGTACCGCCGCCAGATAAACAGGAGCTCCGGCACCGACGCGCTCGCCGTAGTTTCCCTTGCGGAGGAGCCTGTGGACACGGCCGACGGGGAACTGCAGTCCCGCCCTGGAGGAGCGAGTCTTGGCCTTTGCTCGGGCTTTACCGCCGGTTTTGCCTCTGCCGCTCATTTTCAAATCTGTTATTACTGTCTGAAGCAATAATGTTATGGTAGTGTGTCTGCTCATACTCTCTTTAAAAGAGAGTTCCAGTCGCCCATTGGTTTAGAGTCTGTAAAGATTCAAACCAATCACTGAACAAATGGTGTTTTGGGCTTTTCCCCCGAAAGCCCAACCCCCTTTTCTGGCGTGGATCGTTAAATGCACTTAATGACGTAGGACAGAAGAGAGGAAACCCAAACCGTATTCACTTTATAGACCTTAATCCAGTAATTGTGGACAAATGTGGGCACAGAGGACTCAGGTGTGATCTTAATTTTGATTTATTATAAATGTTATATCACTGTCTAAGATAAAGTTTTGTCTATTCATTTATGATGTTTTTGTTTTTATTTTGGGGGTATTTTTGAATTTATTTACTTCAAAAAGTAAAAATTTGTCTATATAAATTATGCTTATTTTTATGTTTTATATTTTTTAACTACATAAAAATATCATTCCAATAAGTTCTTAGAGCTAAAACCTAAAATGAAGTGACTTTGCTGTCACCTGATGTCTTATTTTGGGTCATTTTAGAATGCTCTAAATTACAGTTTTTCCCCATTCATTTCTATAGGTGCCCATTTTTGACCCAAATACAAGATTATTACGTTTTTTTTTTCACCCACTTAACATTGTAGAATTGAGTTTAAAAAAAATGTTTGTTCAGGAGGCAAGTCTTGAACCACTCAGATCAACGGAAGTATTTTTTTAAAAAATAAATAACTATTTTGGCCACATTTGTCCAAATACGGTTTCAGGGTTGAAATAGCAAAACCTAAGAAAAACAGCTAACCGTTTTTAAAACGTATTAACACCTTTATTCTTAAAAAAATATATAGTGTCAGCACATGATGGTAATTGTGTCTGTATAACCTCTGCAAACTGGTTTTGGGATTGTTTCTCAGATATTTTAAAATTTAAATTCTTGTTAAATATAAAATAAACACTAATTGTTGCTTTCATTAGTATAATTAATTTGTTATTGGTATAATTATGCACAATGCCTGTTGGAATGTAAAACAGAGGTATCATAGAATTAAGAGCTAGATAATACACAAAAACTCTTTTTCTGAGAAGATGTGTGGCTCTTAAAAGAGCCTTTGGGTTAGTTGAAGTCGGGCACGCCTCACTTCGAGCTGGTGTATTTGGTGACGGCCTTTGTGCCCTCGGACACGGCGTGTTTGGCCAGCTCTCCGGGCAGCAACAGACGCACGGCGGTCTGGATCTCTCTGGAAGTGATGGTGGAGCGCTTGTTGTAGTGCGCGAGGCGAGACGACTCACCGGCGATGCGCTCGAAGATGTCGTTGACGAAAGAGTTCATGATGCCCATCGCCTTGGAGGAGATACCGGTGTCAGGGTGGACCTGCTTCAGGACTTTGTAGACATAGATGGCGTAGCTCTCCTTCCTGGACTTTCTGCGCTTCTTTCCTCCCTTACCGGCGGTCTTGGTGACGGCCTTCTTGGATCCCTTCTTAGGAGCGGACTTTGCTGGTTCAGGCATGATGATGCGATATCACAAGACTGACGAGTTAATGTAAGCAACAGTGCGACACAGAGGCATTTATTCACTGCTCTATGCTAATGTCCAAAGTGTTAGGGAAATATCTGATTGTCTGTTTTCAGAGACCAAACCCACAAACTCACATTTCATTGGACAACTTGAGAGGAACGAGGGCCAATCACAGATGTGGATAAGCTATAGTTCCGCCCTCCATCTCATGTTTATACACTTCCGCCAAGTTTCATTTGTTTTGTTTTTTCCCGCTCTTTTTATTTAGTAATATCAGAGCCCGTCTAACGGAGAGCCTTGGCACTTCCATTAGAATTCCACTGGGGGTGATCGCGGGCGAGTGCAGAATGAATGGGAGTCTATGGGGCTAAACGGCTAAATGTGTCTCTTCCAACCTGCTTGTCGTTAAATCAAAATAGATTTTATTGTTGATTCCGCAAGTTCAATATAGATTATAGGCCAAAAGTCGAATGAACGACTACTTATGTCCTTTTGATTTCTTACAGGTTAGGCCGTTGTTGGCTGGAACACGCTAGCATTCTGCTATTGTGTGACGTCATCACATTTTTGAACGGATTTTTAGAACAGATAAGTGAACTTAAAAATGCAATTTTCAGCTGAGTGTATTATCTTAGCCCTCCCTTTTGAATGCAACTTTCAAATTACTTGACAAAAAAATACATCCTGAGAAAAGTGGATTTCTGGGGGTGAAACCCCATTGACTCCCATTCATTCTGCACTCGACCGCGAGCGCCCCCTCATGGACAGAGACCAGTCCAGAACCCGGAAGTAACCAGACATTCTCTGGTAATATTTTCTGGGGAAAATAAGCGGTTCTAATATTGTGCATGATCGTGTAATTTTAAAACTTCTTATAAACCCATTGAGCGAGTTTTGGAGAAAAGAGACCAATAATGGTCAGATACACTTTAAAAGCGTTATTGGTTATATTTAAAAACAGAAATATATCTTCGTTTCTGCATTCTCATTTCTGCTGACTGGTACCGTTTTATCTAATTACTTGTTTTTCTTGTTGATTTTGTGGAAAAGCGTTCGTGGAAAGGATTAATGTTTAAAACAAAACCAAACGGTTTAATTGGGTTTATTACATTAAAAGTAGAAAGGTATCGATATTCTCGATCCATTACTGTGAAACATTTACGAGTTCTTAAATGAGATGTAACCTTAATTGAGAAAACCAAAACTTCTGAAACTTAATTCTTTGATTTGACATGAAACATTGACTCTTTATGTGGCAGAGTGTGTGGTTTTAGGGTTAAATAAATACAAAAAAGGGTATTGTATGCTTTTACTACCAAAAGTCCTGCACCTTTTCTCACACTGTATATTCTGGGCACAATGGCCATATTGCACAGTGTTATGTTCCTATAGTTATATAGGAGGTTAATAACTGCCCATATTGCCTGGATATGTGGGTTGATTGTATTTGTATTTTCAATTCTTCAGCATAGTAGTGTGTAACGTATATATTCTTCCTGTACTAGTAGTAAGTAATAGTACAACATAATAGACTGATCACTGAATCATCTTCAGCTTTTTGGCAATTCACAATAAATCTCGTACATATAATGATTTACTGGAGTAATTTTCTTTAAAACGTACACACACATAGATGAGTTTTGCTCTTATTCAGAGTTAGTGGGTGGCTCTTAAAAGAGCCGTTGAGGAACAAACACTGGACTTTATTTCTTTTTGGGCGCTGCCTTTTTAGGCTTGGCGGCTTTAGGTTTTGCAGCTTTAGGTTTAGTAGCCTTTGCCTTTTTAGGGCTCTTGGCCGCTTTCTTAGCGACTGCTGGCTTCTTTGCCTTCTTGGGGCTCTTCGTCGCCTTCTTAGCGGCCTTGACTGCGGGCTTCTTGGCCTTCTTGGGCGATTTCTTGGCGGCGGGCTTCTTTGCCGCTGCGCTCTTGGGCTTCTTGGCAGCGACGGGTTTCTTGGCCGCGGGCTTCTTCGCTTTAGGAGCCGCTTTCTTGACCGGTTTCTTCTTGGTCTCGGCTTGCTGCTTGTTGAGCTTGAATGAGCCCGAAGCGCCGGTCCCTTTGACCTGCTTCAGGGTGCCTTTAGTCACCAGGCTCTTGATGGCGATCTTGACGCGGGAGTTGTTCTTCTCCACGTCGTATCCACCGGCAGCGAGCGCTTTCTTCAGCGCGGCGAGGGACACGCCGCTCCTCTCCTTGGATGCGGACACCGCTTTGACGATGAGCTCGCCGACGCCTGGACCTGCTTTCTTGGCTTTCGCAGCGGACTTCTTCTTGGGCGCTTTGGCCGGGGCGGCTGCAGCGGGTGCGGGAGCAGTTTCTGCCATTTCTCTCTTTCCGGAACAGTCTTTCAAACTACTTTCGTTTCAGCAATGGTTAGCGCTCTCGCGGCGCTGCGCTCTTAAATAACGCATGAGAACCTTATAGACTCAACCTACCCACTCGGCGTCTGTGCGCGTCAACAAGCCCTTCTCTCGTGTGTTTTCTTCTCGAACATTTGGTTAAAAACTGGACTGGTAAAATAGTTTTGCGCTGTAAAAACAAACTGAACACCAAGCAGAGGTTCTGGGCTTTCACCGGAGACTAAAATACCCAATGATGAAATGTTTATTTTGCCTTTGTCGGATCAAATCCAAGGCGAGCATCAGCCACGAGGAAAAGCAGCGTGTAAATTTGATATATATTTTCAGTGGAAATGTTGATAAAATCCTTAAAACTTTATCTGTGTGTTCAGAAAACAGTCTGAAATAGATTTTTATGAAATCAGCATCAGCGAGACCCAGATAGCAGACTGACATTGAATCAACGTGGAAATATGACATCGAAACAACGTTGATCTGACATTGTTTTGCTCATCGAATTAACGTTGAACCAACGTCAGATGCGTCATTCTTTCAAAACTAACGGAAAATCAACTTGAAATCAACGCGTTGTTTCAACGTTATGAAAGCAAACCAATTTTCGATTTCATTTAGCTTTGAAGAATGCCGCGTCTGACGTTGGTTCAACGTTAATTCGATGAGCAAATCAACGTTGTTTCAATGTCATGAGAGACGTCGTTTCCACGTTGATTCAATGTCAGTTTGCTATCTGGGGAGGGTGTGAGGAGGCTTTCATACAGATGTTTTTGGGGCAGCTTGAAGCACACGAGCATCATCAGTCTTTCTGTGAATCTCATGTCTGACCAGCAGATGATCTGTCCTTAAAATAATTATAATTTGTATTAATATTAATAATAAATATCCTTTCCATAAGATGATGTACATCATATCACCTAAATAAAAAATGTAAATCGCCAAACCTGTTTATCCTTATTCACATTATTGAAACACAGGGGCGGTTTCTTCATTGGGGCGATTGGGCGACGCACCACCAAAGTGTGAATCATCACACTCACAATCTCATTCAACCAGAGAGTTACGCTAGCCATCACTATATAGTCCAATCAGTGTCATGTCACGTTCTGTGGAGTACCGCCTCTTTTTGGGCGATTTCACTCTGGCTGAAAATCGCCCAGAGTGTTCCCATAGACTTACATTCAAAGATGTTTTTTTTCGAACTGCAGGCACTGCAACGCATTCTCTATGGGTTCCGGGAGGGCTCGCACTAACGTGCTTACATCATCATACGTATCCTTAACTTGTGCAGCGATTGGTGGGAACAAACATCCACTATTAAAAATCTTTAATATTAAGTGACAAATAATATTTTAAAACAATTTTGAATTCAAACAGCAACAATAAAAAATGAAACACTACTTAATTATCTTTATCAAATTGATTAAAAAAAAAAAAAGCGAGAGCGAGAGAGACTGTTGGGACATCTCGCGAGTTGTTGTGGCTACAGACAGTTGAACTTGAACAACGCCATGGCGAACACAGTCCTTTAGAAGCCTACACAGCAAATTTCAGGAGTTGAAAAATCATGAGTTAGGCAAAAAAGAGTTACTTTTGAGTTATTTTTTTTTTAACTCTGACTACACTTTGTGTTATTGGATACTCCCCGGCTGTGTTGTATTTTGGAGTTCATTCATTGGTGTACAGGAGTGTGTTTTGGTTTAACACTAGCTACACCTGGAGTTATTTTTGAGAAATGCGCCTCGACACGACCCTGCCGCTGGATAAAGGAATAATGGACTTATGTGCCTCGTCGTGAGGTAGGTAAAAGAGTATATAAACTATTTAAAAATGTTCTATATTTTCTGACAAACACGTTTGGTCATCGCGTAGCTGCTACGTTATATAGGCTAGTTATACTGTTTACTAACGTCAACGATTATGACAAACTTGCTGTTGAACGTTTGTTTACTTGTTTCAAATTTTGAAATGGCTATTTGCGTGGGGTTTTTGTCAATGTAAACGAGTTAACATTAGCTAACCGTCTTTCCATTCACCGTGTTTCTGAAAATGAGTGTTTTACCGTGAAGTTGATGCATCAATGCATTACAGGCATACGTGGTTACACAATTGCAGTGTCTAACGTTACCCTGGAAAATAAGATAGTTGTGCTGTGTAGGCCTGCAATGATTTGAGTTGTAACAGCTATAACGTTAGGCTACGTATTAGTGGTGACCCACGATCACATGTGCGTGATTTTCAGCTAATATATTTTTGCATTCTCAATGAATGGTGCTACATTATGCCTCATACTGTTGTTTTTGTGATCTTCATATACGACTGTCCTGCAGACAACCGGTTGAAGGTTACTCCTCCTCAAATCTGAACCAAATCGATTTGCTGAAATAAAGGCAGTAAATCAAGAATATGGTGTTCAGTGTAGTAATTTCCACACAAAACATTATATTGTGTTAAATAAATGTTAACTCTAAGAAGTGTTAAACTAAATATTTTTTTTGAGTGTTACTTTTTAACACTGGTAATGAGTTCATATAATTATTTTTAGAGTTACATTTACGCTCCGTAGGTTTAGTATTTTAACTCCATAAATTTTAACTCCGAAAAAGTGTTAAATTCAACTCCAAGAGCAGAGTTATTTTAACTCTGCGCTGGAGTCTATTTGATGGTCTCACATG